TATTAACTGTATCTCTAATCTAAAAGAAAAAAAAATAACCTACTTTTTTCTTTTTCTCTTAATTGTTCTGAAATATTTGAACAGGTAAGCACACATTCTCTAATCAAAACCATCTCATTGCATAGCAATGAACAATGTTAGAGTAATGAAAGAGAGTTCATCACTCACATGAAAGATGCACAAGTTTAAAACCAGAAGATATATTTAAATAATCAGAATAAAACCCTATGAAATGTACTTACTGCTGAAAAAGATAGAAGCAGAAAAAGGCTTTTAAAAATCCACTGAAAGACACTTAGCAACAACCTATGAATCTACAGGACTTGTGATCATTTCTCATGGCTTCCCATAGGCTCTCGGAGAGGGAATCCAAGCAAAGCACTGCGCTCGTAAACGGACACGGACAGAGGCATGCAACTTCTAAATTTGGATATTATAAACAAGTACACAACATTATCTATGAGACAGTCTTGCTAAAAATATCAAAACTGAATCATATTAAGTATATCCAGGTTGGGCATGGTGGCTCATGCCTGCAATTCCAGCACTTTGGGAGGCCAAAGCAGGAGGATTTCTTGAGCCCAGGAGTTTGAGACTAGCCTGGGCAACATGATGAAATCCCATCTCTACTAAAAATACAAAAATTAGCCAGGCGTGGTGCCACACACCTGGGTGTGTGGTCCCAGCTACTCAGGAGGCTGAGGCAGGAGAATCACCTGAGCCAGGGAAGTTGAGGCTGCAGTGAGCTGTAATAGTGCCATTGCACTGCAGCCTGGGCAACAGAGCAAGACTCTGTCTCAAAAACCAAAAAAACAAAAAAAGAGAAATTCAACTGCCAATTTACAGGAAATATAGAGGACAGAAAATTGTATTAAACTACTACAGGGAGAGCATCAGCAAAATTCAGAGTGTGAGAAGCTCCAAAGGAAAAACATAGATTTGAGAAAGAGAGAGGGAGGGAAGGGGGGAGAGAGAGAGAGGAGAAAACGGACACATTTTAAAAAGGCAGAACTTGTCTTAACAACTTAACATTTAGGTACGTATATTTGAGTGATAAAACTATAAAGAAAAGTAAGGAAATAATTATTACGAGATCAAAATAGTGGCTACTGTTAGACATGAAGCATATTTTCATCATAACTCATTAAACTGAATATTTTAATGTTGTTTTCTGTATTTTATTATTTTTTTAAATAAAGTTAAAATTTTTAAATAGAATCCAAGTATAACCTGATATTTCTTAAAGTAAAGTTATAAATAAAAAGCTGGCAGGGTCATGCCAAGATAGCCGAGAGGAGGAAACACCAGAATGCATCTCCCAGCAAATGAGACACAGAGGGCTAGAGGGCTTACAGAGGGCTTACAGTTTCAAGTGAGGTGCTGGGTTTGTTACAGCAGGACTGGTAGGACACTGAAAATAGACCAGGAGAGGTGAGCTGAAGCAGGTCAATAGCAGCCCAGGGAGGGCAAACCAAGATAGGGTGAGATGCATCCCCACCTGGAACATACAGCTGGCTCAGAGGGTCAGGGACTTCACCCCCTCAGTGCTCTGATTCAGATCCTGCGCTTCCCTCATCCCTCAGTCCATGAAAGCACTGCCAGACTGAGTGGCGCCATGGGTTGTCGATGCATATCTGAGTGATGGCTCCTGCCTGGTGCCGCAACTTGTCAGCACAGACCTGGGTGGAAGTTTGGATTAACACCAGTGGGATGGAACTACCCATTCTACAGAAAGAGGCAGAGTCGAAAGCAGGGAAACAGGCCATAAGGCCTGGCAGACTCCACCCCCACAAAACTCAAACTGACACCCACATACTAGAGAGCTTCACAGTGAATACACCAGTTTGACCTCAACTGGGAAGATTGAGCTCAGGGAAACAGAGATGCCATTGGCAAGGCAGGGCTAATCTCACCTGCAAACAAACTCCAGGGGAAGACCACCCATCCAGTAGCCTTATTGTTGAGGCAGCCCAGCAGCGCCTCTACAGGCCAAAAAAGATATAGCTACAACCTCAACAGAAAGGACGTCCACTTAGAGATTCCTCCCGAAATCACCAACTTCAAAGATCAAAGGGAGATAAATCCACGAAGATGGGAAGAAACCAGCACAAAAAGGATGAAACCATCAAAGATCAGAACACCTCTTCTCCAACCAGGGATCACAACTCCTCACTATCAAAGGAACAAAACAAGACAGAAAATGAGTTTGAAAAAATTGACAGAAGCAGGCTTCAGAAAGTGGGTACTAACATACTTCTCTGAGTTAAAAGACCATTTTCTCACCCAATTCAAAGAAACTAAGAACCTTGAAAGAAGGTTAGACGAAATGCTAACTAGAATAACCAGCTTAGAGAAGAACATAAACAACTTGATGGAGCTGAAAAACACAGCACGAGAACTATGCAAGGCATACACAAGTTTCAACAGCCGAATTGATCAAGCAGAAGAAAGAATATCAGAGATTGAAGATCAACTCAATGGAATAAAACGAGAAGGCAAGATTAGAGAAAAAAGAGTGAAAAGAAATAAACAAAGCCTCCAAAAACTATGGGATTATGTGAAAAGACCTAATCTACACTTGATCAGCATACCTGAATGTGATGGAGAGAATCAATTCAAGCTGGAAAATACTCTTCAGGATATTATTCAGGAGAACTTCCCCAGTCTAACAAGGCAGGCCAACATTCAAATCCAGAAAATACAGAGAACACCACAAAGACACTCCTCAAGAAAAGCAACTCCAAGGCACATAATCGTCAGATTCACCAGGGTTGAAATGAAGGAAAAAATCCTAAGGGCAACCAGAGAGAAAGGTTGAGTCACCCACAAAGGAAAGACCATCAGACTCACAGCAGATCTCTCGGCAGAAACCCTACAAGTTAGAAGGTAGTGGGGGCAGATATTCAACATCCTTAAAGAAAAGAACTTTCAATCCAGAATTTCATATCCAGCCAAACTAAGCTTCATAAGTGAAGGAGAAATAAAATCCTTTATGGACAAGTAATTGCTGAGAGATTTTGTCACTACAAGGCCTGCCTTACAAAAGCTCCTGAAGGAAGCACCAAACATGGAAAGGAACAACCAGTACCAGCCACTGCAAAAACGTACCAAACGGTAAAGAACAATGACGCAATGAAAAACCGCATCAACTAATGGGCAAAACAACCAGCCAGTAACAAAATGGCAGGATCAAATTCAAACATAACAATATTAACATTGAATGTATATGGCCTAATGCCCCAGTCAAAAGGCACAGACTGGCAAACTCGATAAAAACTCAAGACCCATTGGTGTTCTGTATTCAGGAGACCCATCTCATGTGCAAAGACTCATATAGATTCAAAATAAAGGGTTGGAAGAAGATTTACCAAGCAAATGGAGAGCAAAAAAAGCAGGGGTAGCAAACCTCGTCTCTGATAAAATGGACTTTAAGCCAACAAAGATCAAAAGAGACAAAGAAGGGCATTACATGATGGTAAAAAGATCAATACAACAAGGAGAGCTAACTATCCTAAATATATATGCACCCAGTGCAGGAGCACCTAGATACATAAAGCAAGTTCTTAACAACCTACAAAGAGACTTAGATTCCCACACAATAATGGTGGGAGACTTTAACAATCCACTGTCAATATTGGACAGATCAATGAGACATAAAGTCAACAAGGATATCCAGGACGTGAATGCAGATCTGGATCAAATGGAACAAAATTAGCATTAAATGTAAATGGCCTAAATGCCTGATATAGGTGATGGGGGCAGGGGATGGAGACAGCAAACCACCATGTCATGTAGGTACCTATGCAACATTCCAGCAGGATGCAGGATGTGCACATGTACCCCAGAGTCCAAAGTACAATAATAATAATAATAAAGTCAGGGGGGAAAAAAGCTAGTATGACATGATATTACTGTTAAGGTTAATGAGATCAGGAACATCTGAGTTGCATTTATGTTATTAAGAAAACAAAATACAAGAGTTCAAGAGTAAAAAAATTATTAAATTTTGAAGTAGAATTTATAAAGTTTTAAAAACATATGTCTTGCAACAAAATCTGAATTAAAAAAATTATACCTATAAAATGAGCATAGTTTTTATAAAAATATGAATAGAAAAAATGGAGAAACTAAAACAATAAAATGCTTAAAAAAGATAATCAAGTGCCAGGTGTGGTGGCTCACGTTTGTAACCCCAGCACTTTGGGAGGCTGAGACAGGCAAATTACCTAAGGTCAGGAGTTCAAGGCCAGCCTGGCCAACACCGTGAAACCCCATTTCTACTATAAATACAAAAATTAGCTGGGTATGGCTGTGTACACCTGTAGTGCCAGCTACTTGTGAGGCTGAGACAGGAGAATTGCTTGAGCCTGGGAGGCAGAGGTTGCAGTGAGCCAAGATTGTGCCATTGTACTCCAGCCTGGGTGACAAGAGTGAGACTCCATCTCAAAAATAAAATAAAATAAAATAAGAAATAAAAATGATCAAGGGCCCATATCTCATAAGTACCAAGTCAAAATTTAACCCCAAGCAAATCTGTTCAAGCCAAAGTACATAATTATGAAATACACAATAAATGGCCAATTTTGACTTAAAAGGTTGGGAACCATACAACCTCATCTGCCTAAAACAATCTTTGTTTATGCTTGTTGTCCTGACATGATTATTAATAATTCCCTTTTTCATACTCAAAATTGTCCAGTTTAGTTAAAAAATGTAATGATCAGCCCACCTTGAAAGTCCCTCCCAGATGTCATGATTCTAAAAGCATGAAAAGATAGATTAGAACTTGATTCAATTAGGTGATGAGGGACACACTGTAGTGTAAAGAAATGAAATAAACTGGGAATATTTATCTAGTTGTTTTCTCTAGTGTTTCTCCTTACTCGAAAGAATAATTAATGGTGCCTTCTGTTAATTGCCTCTTCTCTCCCCACACCCAAAGGAAACATTTAAGAGAATGTTTAGTTGTAAACACCTTTCTTCCAGTAATGGCCATTAGGAGCCATGGCCAAAAGCACAGAGCCTAGGGGAAGCTGAACACTTGTATTATGTTTGTGGACTCTGATTTCTGAAAGAAAAAGACCCTCATCTGAGGACAAGAGCACACTCCAGTAGAAAGCAGCGTGGCAGAAGTACCTCCAAGAATTTCACCAAGACACACCTGTCAGGAGCCAAACACCAGCATGAATATTTGGGTGGGTGAAACCAGAATGGGGGCGACTTGGCTTTCATGCTTGAAACCCTTTCCTTCTTTCTTCTTTCTCCTGTAACCCTGCTCTCTTAATGCACTTGATAAAGACCTCGTGCATCCAGGCTCAACATCTATTTTTGTTTGTTTTTTGAAAACTTATGATCCCTCTTCCCCACTCTCATAGAATAATATTAATTTTACAGAAACCAAGGTATTGGAGCTAAAAAAAGATCTCACAGTATTTCAAACACTAGCCAGTGAATAAAGTGAAATGGGGGGTATGGAATTTTCCTGATAGCTTACCATGTGGACCATGGAACCTAATATTGTCACCACCACATAATCCCACTTTCCCTCTAAAAATGTGTTTTAGTTAGCAAATGATCTTTAGGATATAGTTATTATTATACATTATTAACATAACAACTCCCATTTTTGATAGCCTCATTGTTACTTTACACATCATAGTTAAGTCCTCACAAAAGACTATGAAGTGATGATTCTTCCTGTAGAGATGAAGAAATGAAGGTACACAGAAGTGAATTACTTTGCCCCAAATCACAAAATTGATTAACGGTGACACCAAATACACTCTGTTTTTCAGTAATTTAACCCTAGTTTATTTATCAGAGGTAATTAAAACTTTTGCTGAGTCTAAAATAGAGTAGCCAGAGGGAGTTAATGTATTTTACTCTAAAGAAAGTTGATGGCATTATTTTGTATATATAATTTTAATAACTTTATAAAATATTAAAAATGATCATTTATGGCCATCTTTGCATGCCCAGGGGATATTAATCATTGCAATAGTTGATGCAGGGAGTGATTTACTTTAGCTTCAATTTAAGGTTGGCCAGTGTGACCTTTAGACTCCACCTACTTTTATTTTATGTATAATTTAAAATGAATCTTCAAAGTTCTAAAAACTTGTTCACTAATTTAATTAAATGGTGCAATGCTAATAGTGACTAGGAAAATAAAGATGAAAGAGATACAAACTGTATGTAAATTGGTAGTAGAGTATAAATTTTTAATGCTGGATCCTGGTGTCAGTCTGAGAGAGTTCCCAGCTGTATCATTTATTAGTATTGAGATCACGGGAAAGTTCCCTAACTTCCTGTACTTTATGTTAAAATGATGTTGTTGTGAAGATGAAATACATATATTAGAAGAATAGCTAGGACAGTAAGTGCTGAATAAGTGTTATATAATATTATTATTGATGATATACTCTAAAAATTATAGTTGATTTATCTTTTTGATATTCAAAACCCATTGGTATGCAAACATTTTTAGGATAAAGTTACGATACCTTATTTTATAAGGGTTTTAATAAGAATCAACATTTATTTCACATTTTGGAGATTCTAAGTTCTGGTTAAAATCATTTAAATGTTAAGACTTAAAAGTTACAATATGAACATGAAAAAGTTCTCCTCACCCCAAATCATGAAGTATAAAGAACTTCAAGAATCAATGAATTAAATCTTCCTTATAGTTGAACATGCATGCCCTGCCTTTGTAAGTGGGTTGCTTTTTTCCTTAAATTTTCTAAATGTGGACTTCTTTCCTTTTTTTCTTTCTTCCCCTTTTTTCTTCCTTTCTCCCTTCCCTCATTTTCTTCCCCTTTCTTTTCCCTCCCTTTCTTCCTTCTTTCCCCTTCTTTCTTTCCTTCCTCCCTTCTTTCCTTTCTTCCTTCCCTTCTTTCCCTCCTTTTTTTCCTTTTTTATTACTTGCAAACAGTACTAGAGAGATAATAACTATTACAGATAGGACATATTTTCCTTTACTAATTTAATAAATTTACATCAGGTATTAGTTTCTAACCTTTTACGATGAATATTGCAAATCATGATGACACCACGTGCTACATAAAAGGCCTAAATTAAATCCATTTCACTGAAAGCAACATCACGAAATCTCAAGAGAATATTATTGCTTCAGGATGTTTGTATCTCCTATCCCTGAGGATGGTTCAGCAGAAGTCATCAGGACGAGGAGTGATGCGCATATAATTTGAGATATTTTTCTCACCTTAATTCAAGCTATTTTATCTTAAAGAACTGTAACTCTCTATTAGTCCTTGTATCTGTTTTGTGAGTTTTTATTTTATAGAGAACTTTTGTTTTCATGAAGTACCTTGATTTCACAATATTTGATCAGAATTTTCATCTGGCTTGGGCAACAGTTTCCTGATATATTTTCTTCATTTGCCACTTATTTTTCTTATTTTATCTACTTTTTCTTGCAATATATTTGTATCATATACTGGCACTTTTTCATGCACTGAATAAAGTGAGATCTTCCTCCAGTAGTTACTTGTGAAAGGAAGCTGTAGGAGAAGGCATGGCAGTACACTGACTACAAAAGAAGTTTCAATTGCTTATTATGAAGCCATGGGTATCTTTGTTAATCTATGCTTTCATTTTCTTTAACAAACAATATTGACAGATTTAAGCCACTTATCTCTCACTGGTTCTGTTCTGCTTATTTTCTTCACTCATTATATAATTATGCCTAGTGTTCCATTATTGGAATTCTAAGCCTGTGGGTTATTTTTATCCTGCTGTTCAAGGTTTTTCAAATCCAAAAAATTGTAACCTCAGGCATAAATGGGTTAATGTGAGTAAAATATTTTAATGACATAATCTATAAAAATCAGTAATTATAATTTCTAAAACAAAAATAGCTTGTGAGGAGTCGCATTGTTCTCCAGTTTTGAAAATGTCATAAATGTCTGCTTCATAGAAGGCAATTGACTTCTTATATTTGTTTCTCTTTTAATCTGTTGCAATATATGGTTTTGGTTGAGACAGATGAGGAAATCTGGCCTCATGTAGATATGTAATTGGAAAAAGAAGGAGTATTTTATTTTTTTATTTTTATTTTTTGGTTTTAAAAAGCGGAGAGTTAAATAGGCAAGAAGAGAGAAAGCAAAAGGAAGAAGCTCCCCCGTACAGAGACAAGAGGGAGGGGTGGCTCCAAAGCTGAAAGAGGAGACCCCAGGAAGGAGTATTTTAACAATCTTTTCAGAGAGTTGTGTAACAACTTATTTAATACTATGCCAAAACTCCACAGGTGGTAGTTTCTTAAAGGTTAATTGTAAAATTGAAGACCATATCAATGAACTTAGCATACTCAGTTACATTAAACTCCACTAGTCTATCTTGCCTTTGAATGGATTTTTTTTACCCATGCAGAATTTTGACCATTTAGACCACTTTTGAAAGGATTTCAATGGCCTCGAAATAAGTACCATACTTGGACTCAACTCTCTACTAGCCCTTGTATTTATTATTTGAGTTTTTGTTTTATAGAGGACTTTGTTTTCTAGAGAATTCACTTAGTACTAGAATTTGAGGATTATATTGTGTTTACATATTCTTCCTTATTAAATATTACTGAACCGCTTTCCAAAGCAATCATAGCAGTTTGCACTCCCATTAACAGGGGATGAAGATTCCATTCATTTTATGTTCTAGTCAATGCTTGATATTGCCCCACTTCTTAATTTTTGTCAAAATGGAAAGTGTGAAATTGTACCCACTGTTTTAATTTGCATTTCCAAAATTATTCATTAGATGTAACATAATTTAAATATTAATAATATTCACAAATAGTTTCAAAATATGCAATTAGTTTTCAATTATGATATTTCTCTAATTATCAGTTTGCTATTGATTTCTAATTTAACAGCACTGTAGTCAGAGAATGTTCTCTATATGATTCATTAAACATTTAAATTTAAGTTTTTCACAAACCAAAAGAGTCCTTCAAAATTATACTAGCAAGATATCCCCTAATGACATCACTTTTATACAATTCTTGCTATGTGCATTACACATAACCTCAGTTAACACCTGAGATAGGTTTACTATCCCTATTTTACAGATGAAATAACAGGCACAAAGATACACAGTTTGTAGGTAGCAGAACCACAATCCACAAACAGCAGTGCTCTTAGTCACTGAATTATATACAGGGATTATAATTCCATTAGCAATATGCAAAAATTTTCAAAGTGTCTTTTAAAATGTCCCTTACAAATGTTTTTATACTTTCTTTTGTTCTCATAAGAGCCAATGAAAGGTGTAATTATCCTCTTTTACATGTGTAAAAACTGATGCACCAAAACCATTGTGGTTCCTAAGGGGCAAAGTTAATCAGGGTTACTTCCTCTAACTTGGATCAGTACTTCACTTGGTTTGGTATTCAGTATGGATACAAGTTAGTTTATTTCAATAGAAATTGGGATAACAATTGACTTAGAGGTTTATGTTCTTTTTTCCTACAGATTCTAGAATCACCAATGCAATGACTGAGGAAAGGAACGGTACAACAATTACGAAGTTCATTCTCTTGGGATTCTCTGAATTTCCAAAGCTCACTATTATCTTCTTTTCAATATTCCTAGGGATCTACCTCCTGACAGTATCCTGGAACATGAGCCTCATCATCCTTATCAGGATGGACTCCCATCTGCATACACCTATGTACTTTTTCCTTAGTAACCTGTCATTTCTGGACATCTGCTATGTTTCCACTATAGCCCCCAAGATGCTCTCAGACTTCTTCAAGAAATATAAATTCATCTCCTTTATGGGGTGCAGTATGCAGTACTTCTTCTTCTCTAGCCTAGGTCTAACTGAGTGCTGTCTTCTGGCAGCCATGGCTTATGATCGATATGCTGCCGTTTGTGATCCTCTTCTCTACCAGACCATCATGTCGCCTACCCTCTGCATGCAGATGGTGGCAGGATCTTGTATAACTGGATTCTTTGGTTCATTTATCCAACTCTGTGCTTTGCTTCAGCTTCACTTCTGTGGGCCAAATGTCATCCACCATTTCTTCTGTGATCTGCCCCAACTTCTGATTCTATCCTGTTCTGACACCTTTTTCTTTCAAGTCATGATCTCTGTTCTCACAGTGATTTTTGGACTTACATCTGCCTTAGTTATCATGATATCTTATGGTTATATCATTGCCACCATTCTGAAGATCACCTCCGCTGAAGGCAGAGCCAAAGCTTTCAACACTTGTGCTTCTCACCTGACAGCAGTGATCCTTTTCTTTGGCTCAGGTATCTTTGTTTATATGTATCCTAATGCTGGTGATTCCCTGAGCCAAAACAAGTTGGCATCAGTCTTATACACAGTCGTAATTCCCATGTTAAATCCAGTGATCTACAGCCTGAGGAATAAGGAAATCAAAGATGCCCTAAACAGATGGAAGAAGAGAATCTCCCCCTGGTGTTATGGAATGAAATAATGAAATTTATTTCAGATGTATAAATAGTGTAGGAAGAACAACAACTAAACATTTATTTTCAACTCTCCTAAATGTGGGCATAATTGCAATTGGTATGCACTTCTTATGTAAACCCAGGGCTGGCACAAAATCACGTAAATGCATGAAAAGTATCTTCAAATTTAATATCAATTCTTTATCAGTTGTAATCTAATAAATTGATAGGCCAGGAAAACCACAGGTATTTTTTTGTAGCTAGTTGTGGCAGTGGGACAGTTCACCTTGAATATTCCATTTCTATCTAACATGGCACTACCTCAAGAACCAGAGATGCTAGTACTGATCAAGGCTTCCAAGAGACTAGCAAGCCTTCTCATACATCTTATTTTAGGTAGAAAACGGATTACTATTAATACAGACAAATCTTTTTAAAAATAATTTCCCAATTAAGTTTAAACTCACATTTAACCTATTCTTTCACCTCTGGAAATTTTGGATTAATTTCTTCATTTATGGATTTGTCCAAAGCCAAATATTCATATCAGGTAAAAGTCTTGCTAAAGTCACACAGATAGAAATTTGTTGTAATAGGAATGCTTAACATGTCTGCTATAGTTAAGATTTGGTTGACTAGTTAGCTAGCTAGGCATTCCTAGATAACTCCTTGTATGTTATTACTATAGTTTCTTTGTTTTTCCATCTTATCTCTACCATGTAACCAGAAAAGAGAATCAGAAATGGCCCCCTGTTGGTGAGGTAACCTAGTCCCTGATTTTGGCATTTCCAACTGTCTTACTGTTAACATTTTTGTTTCATCTAATAGGCCAAGTCCTTATTAGAAAGTTGTTTTTCCAATAATTAACAAATAGGAAGTGGTTAGTAAAATTATCTATAAAGGACTAAACCACTGGAACCACAAGAAAGTCTTTGGCTGTTGCCCTTATAACTTACTACAAGGTACAGAGGAATATTAGAGAATTGAGATTTAAAATACCAAACAAGGAAAGGAATATGGGGCAGAAAGCACACTTTTGTTATTTATCTTCTGGTAGGATTCTGACTTCCATTATCTCAGGCCTGAAATCATTGAAATTTTCAAGAGATTATTTCCAGTAAAAGGCATTTTGTATATTCTCCGACCTCTCTCTGTGTTCAGAAGGAAAAATTTTCAATCCTCATGAGTGTTCAGTTGGTAAAAACTTACAACAAACCTTTTAGATAACAGTAGGTACTGCAATGTGAGAGGTTCTGCTTCTAATACTTCCTGTCTCTGGGGGTAGAATTCAATTTCAGGGAGCTTGGAGGTGAAAGGGAAAGTTATTTTGTAAGACAACGGATTTACAGTTATCCAATAGGATTTTGTCAAGAGAAGTTTGAGATAGAGTTCCACGCCTAGATTTCATGTAAAGTTTTTTTTTTTTGTTTTTGTTTTGTTTAAAACTAACTCTTGTTAGTGACTCCATTCAGACTTCCCTTGGCTTCAGTTTAAAACAAAGTGTATTAACTGATGACTATACTGAGGTTGAAAGAGAAGTAACTCCATAAGTGCCATTCATTCACTTGGTTGGATGTTTAATGCTTTTGTGGTCACTGATTATTAGAATCTCTGAAGACAAATACTGCTTGGAGTTGATATCACAACCAGCAGAAATGCTTTATTATATAAAATTCAAAATCTCCTTAATTACGAAAAACATAATCTTCAGAAAAGAATAATGTAGGCTTTAAGTCAGAAAGCCCTATCTCTACAGAAGGCCAGAATTCTTTTTATTCTGATATTCAAAACATCTGTAGGATATAGATGTATAGGATACATATCCCTGTGCAGAAATTTCTTATAAACAACAAAGATTCAGAGATTAACTGGTCAGAACAGAGGCTCATAAATTAAAGACAAATTCTTGGACAATATCATATATTTCTCTTTTTGTAACTACTTGTGATTGACATTTTTATATTGGTGATGCTTTTAAAGAAATAATATACTTTATGTGATATACTAGGGAAAATTGTCTGCATATTTAATTATGTTCTATAATATTTGATCAGTCTCTAAGCAGCTGCAGAAGCTTATCACCATGGCTGGGAATGAAAGGCTCTGGGATATGGAATAGTAAATTCTGTGTTCTAAGAAGCTGCATTTTCCTTGCTGTGTTAGTAGAAAAGGATGTGGTTTAGTAGCTTCTAGGACTCTGGAAGTGTTTAGTAAACCAAACACTCCTGACTCAGCACTGATTGTTAATTGGCAGTTCTGTTTATCACTATATATCTCAATTAATTTATATTTAAAATTTGGACATATACCCAGTAATATGATTGCTGAGTCAAATGATATTTCTATTTCTAGATCCTTGAGGAATTGTCAAGTGTCTTCCACAATCGTTGAACTAATTTACACTCTCACCAACAGTGTAAAAGTGTTCCTATTTCTCCACATCCTCTCCAGCATCTGTTGTCTCCAGATTTTTTAATGCTCACCATTCTAACTGGCATGAGATGGTATTTCAATGTGGTTTTGATTTGCATTTCTCTAATGACCAGTGATGATGAGCATTTTTTCATATGTTTGTTGGCCACATAAATGTCTTCTTTTGAAAAGTGTCTGTTCATATCTTCTGTTCACTTTTGGATGGGGTTGTTTTTTTCTTGTATATGTGTTTTAGTTCTTTGTAGATTATGGATATTAGTCTTTGTCAGATGGGTAGCTTGTAAAAAATTTTTCCCATTCTGTTGGTTGCTGGTTCACTCTAATGATTGTGGCACTGTTTACAATAGCAAAGAGTTGGAACCAACCCAAATGGCCATCAAAGATGGAATGGATAATGAAAATGTGGCACATATACACCATAGAATACTATGCAGCCATAAAAAACGATGAGTTCATGTCCTTTGCAGGGACATGCATGAATCTGGAAACCATTATTCTCAGCAGACTGACACAAGAACAGAAAACCAAACACCATATGTTCTCTCTCATAAATGGGTGTTGAACAATAAGAACACATGAACACAGAGAGGGGACCATCACACACTGGGGTCTGTTGGGGGTTGGTGGGCTAGAGGAAGGATAGCAGGGGGTAGGGAGATTGGGGAAGGATAACATTAGGAGAAATACCTAATGTAGGTGACAGGGGATGGAGACAGCAAACGACCATGGTATGTGTATACCTATATAACAATCCTGCAAGATCTGCACATGTACCCCAGAACTTAAAGTAAAATTAAAAAAATAAATAAATAAAATTTGGAAAATTGTATTATATATTCCTATATAACATTTTGCATAAGTGTTCTAATACTTTATTTTTGGAACATGAAGGTAGAAAGTGAAGTAATAGTGGAGCTTTCAACAGGTCCCTAAGTTTTCTAAGTTTAGCCACATCCAGGGAAGTAGGCCAATGAATGGCTATACTTATGCAAAGGATGCTTGAGCAGGGTTAGCTCCTGCTACACAAGGAATCAGTATACCTGTTTTTCTCTAAGGACATGATCACTATGTCCACTATAAAAAGATCTGACTTGTTTTACAAGATATGCTTTCTACAAGAAACTCACTTCTTTTATAAAGACACTTATAGACTGAAAATGAAGGGATGGAAAAAGATAGTTTATGCAAATGAAAAACAAAAAAGAGCAGGAGTACTATACTTACATCAGATAAAATAAATTTTAAGACAAAACCTGTAAAAAAAGGCAAAGAAGGTTACTATATATTGATAGAGGGGTCAGTTCGGCAAAAGGACATAACAATTGTAAATATATATGTACCCAATGTTAAAGAACTCAAATATCTAAAGCAAATATTATTAGAGCTAACTAGAGAAACAGATCCCAGTGCAGTAATAGTTGGGAGTTAAGCATTCCACTTTCACCATCGTACAGATTATCTAGACTAAAAATAAAGAAAGAAAAATCAGACGAAATCTTCACTATAGACCAAATTGACTGAATAGACATTTAGGAAACCTTTTAGCCAACACCTTCAGAATACACATTCTTCTTAAGGGGACATGAAATATTCTTCAGTATAGACAATATATTAGGCCACAAAATAAGTCTCAAAAAATTCAACAATATTGAAATAGCATCGGGTATCTTTTTTGACCACAAAGAAATAAAAATAGAAATCAATAAGAGAAATTTTGAAAACTATAAAATGCACAGAAATAAAACAACCTTCTGAATGACCATTGAGTCAATAAAGAAGTAAATTTAAAAATGTATTAAAATAATGAAAATGGAAACACAACACACAAAACCTATATAACTTAGCAAAAATAGTACTGAGAGAAGTTTATATCAAGAAACATCTACATCAAAATAGTAAAAGGCTTTGAATAAATAATATAGCAATATATCTTAAGGAACTAGAAAAGCAAGAGCAAAATAAACTCGAAACTAATAGAAGAAAATAAATAATAAAGATCAGAGGAGAAATAAATAATAAATAATTGAGATAAGAAAACAGTACAAAATATAAAATAAAAATTTGTGTTTTAAAAGATAAATCAAGTTGACAAAACTTTACCTAGACTAGCTTAGAAAAAAGTGAGAAGACACAAGTAAAATCAGAGATAAAAAAAGAGGTACTATGAATGATAGCACAGAAATTAAAGGAGCATTAGAGACTATTATCAGCAACTATGTGCCAGTAAATTGGAAAACCTAGAAGAAATGGATCAATTTATAGACTCATACAACCTACCAAGATGGATCACGAAGAACAAAGAACCTCAATAGACCAATAACAAATAATGAGATAGAAGGAGTAATAAAAAGTCTCCCATCAAAGAAAAGACCAGGACCTGATGGCTCACATTTTCTTTGCTTTGTTCGTAGAAGAGGATGGAGTTGAGTAGCTTCTATTCATTGTTAAATTTCACCAAACATTAAAAAAAGAAGTAATACCAATCCTACCCAAACTATTCCAAAAAAAAAAAAAAATCAAATACAAGGGAATACTTCCAAACTCATTCTATAAGACTAGCATAATCCAAAACAAGGCAAAGACACAACACACACACACCCAGAAAATCTCGAGGCCAATATCACTGATGAACATAGATTAAAAAATTATCAACAAAATACTAGCAAACCAAATTCAACAACACATTAAAAAGATACTTTATCATGATCAAGAGGATTCATCCCACAGATACAAGTAAGGGTTAACATATTCAATTCACTAAATGTGATATATTACGTCAGTCAAATGAAGGACAAAAAACATATGATCATTCCAATAGACAGTAAAAAATTATTCCATAAAATTCACCATTCCTTCAAAATAAAAATTCTCAACAAACTGGATATAGAAGGAACATACTTCAACATATTAAAGTCCACATACAACAAACCCATAGTTACTATCATATCAAATAAGAAAAAAATAAAAGCCTTTCCTCTAAGATGTGGAACAAGAAGAGAATGCCTACTTTCACCACTTTTATTCAACATAGAGAAATGTAAGGCATAAACATTGGAAACAAAGAAGTCAAATTATTCCTGTTTGTAGATATATAATCTTATATTTAGAAAAACCTCTAACTATTAAAACTGATAAAGACTCTACCAAAAACTATTAGAACTGATAAATTTAGTAAAATTGAAGAATACAAAATCAACCTACAAAAATTAGTAGCATTTTCATAGGCTAATATTCAGCAGTCTGAAGATTCTTGGATTTATAATAGCTATGAATAAAATAAAATACTTGGAAATAACTGAAGAAATGAAAGATCTCCACAATAAAAAATATAAAACACTGATGAAAAAAATTGAAGGAGGACTCAAATAATGGAAAGATATCCTATGTTCATGGATTGGAAGAATCAATATTGTTAAAATGTCATTAATACCCAAAACTATCTTGGGTAGTATTGACATTTTAACCATATTGATTGCATTGGATTCAATGCACCCTATCAAATTACCAATAACATTCTTCACATAAATAGAAAAAAAGATACTAAAATTTATATGGATTCACAAAATACCCAGAATAGCCAAAGTGACCCAAATCAAGAAAAACAAAGTTGGAGGCATCACATTAACTGACTGAAAGCTATAGTACCCAAACAGCATGGCACTGGCATAACAATAAACATATAGACCAATGGAACAGAACAGAAAACCCAGAAATATATGCACACATTTACTGTAAAATTATTTTTGACAAAGCTGCCAAGAACATGCATTGGGGAAAGAACAGTCTCCTCAACAAATGATGCTGGGAAAACTAGATATCTATATGCAGAATAATGAAACTAGACCCCTCTCTTACCATATACAAAAATCAAATAAAAATGGATTAAAGACTTAAATACAAAATCTGAAACTATAAAACTGCTAGAAGAAAATATTGAAAAGGTGCTTTAGGACTGGTCTAGACAAAGACTTTTTTAGTATGACCTCAAGAGCATAGGCAACCAAGGCAAAAATGGACAAATGCAATAAGTTTAAGCTGGAAACCTTCTGCACAGAAAAGTAAACAATCCATAAAGTAAAGAGACAACCTCTTGAATGGCATAAAATATTTGCAACCTATTTGAAAAGAAAATATCTTACAGCTAAGAGTGCCATATATAATGTGTAGAATTAAAACAAATTTAAAGTAGTTTAAAATATTAAATAGTCTAATTGTTCTGTAAGATCCTTAAGCAATATTTCATTTTTTTAAGCTGAAGACCACCAACTTTATAAAACTATTTTTGCTCTGAAGACAGAGAGGAAATTGACAATTGTGATAAAGTGAATTTTACCAAGATTATTTTATCATTTTTCAGATAATCAGTTTCATCTCATAACAAAATGACTGTGAAATGATTAACAAATCTCTATCCAAAAAATCCAGGATAGTAGAAATAAACATCTCCTATTAATAAATGAGTAGAAAGGCATTCTTTGACATTCCCAGCCAGATGTGGCTGCTTTTAAATTGATTGTCTGAAACCCATTAGCGAGCAACCGAAGAGGAGTAATGTCTTGAGACCTGGGTCAAAA